CAACACCAGTTAGCTTACAACACCAGTTACAACACCAATTATATTATGGTTGGTTGCACAGTCAGACAGATGTTTAGACTGGGTTATTAGTATTAGTATTATTTTATTGTATTACTGTATTTTATTATTATTTGCCCAGCCATTTTCAGGCTCCATTTTCAGATGGAAGAATTCCATGTAATTTCAGTTTTCAATGGGAAACAAGTAGTTAATGGTTAAATGCATATATTCATATGTGTGATTAATATTATAATAGCTTAAATATGAAACAGTCATATAGTTGCGACATGGGAAATGAAGGTAGAGAACAAGGGGCAATGTATACACAGAGCTGTGCAACAGGTGAATTATACTACAGTAATGAAGCAGAAACTTTCCAGCAATTAAAACCCTATTTTTTTCCATCATACCTTCCCTTCTACATATTCCCTCAGTGTTCTCCTGCTGTCACAGGTTAGTCCCTGCATATATCTCATGACAGGTTATAATGCTATGAAAAAACTGATCCTGCTTCTGATAATGTTAATCTTTTTCTGCAATGACAAATATTACAGAATAATTTGAATGGTGACCTGATCAAACAATTCAGAACTCTTACATCATAACAGTTATGTAAAAGAGGGGATTCTAGGATAGTTTGTATAAGCTATACCTGCTGAAATTCCTCTTTTCAGCACAATTATGAATTTGTTTAGGAGTCCTTCCTCTTCTGATTCTCATTACTCTAAGGGCAGAGAATGGGTTAGTGTCTGTTTTATTATCTATGAGCTCAAGCATCACAAGAAATGGATATTATGAAGAGGGGGAAGAAAGGGATTCTTGATAAGCATTTTATCTCAGTACTGAAAAAATGTTATATGTAACCAGTCACTCATCTTCCAAATCCATTAGCAAACTCAGATCTTATAACAGCAGGAGGGCTTACCCACTTATTTATATTTATTTTTTTGACCTTTACAATAACAAATTACAGCTCACTTCATTAATCTGGAAGAGTTTGTTTAAAACTATGAATTAGTCTTGGTTAGGCAAACTAATTTTAAGATAGAAGATTGCTGTTTCAATGGGTTGGGCAACCAAATTAACTGCAAAAGGTCAGCTGTGGATAATTACATTTTTACCTGTCCCCTGCTTAGGTTGCTGATACAATATAGCAACAAATAGAAATAACTCTTGGATACTCCCCTCTGAAAAATTGAACCACAGCATTTGAAGCAGTGAAAGTTAAGTTTGCCCAGCCAAGGATTAATTTAAGGGCTATTGACAAGAATCAGGAATTTTATTGATTAAATCTGAATGATCAACAAATTAAAATACATTTGCATGTTAGTCTAAAACTTTGGAGAGAAGGGCAGAATAAATCAAAGAGGCATGATATAAAATCATGTATTTTGTGGAAATAGTACATAGGAAAACTTTCCTCCCTCTTATAATATGAGGAGCTGCAGGAAATGAAGCAACTGAAAAGATGCCTTGAGTGAGAGGTAGGAAATGGTAGAGATGACTAAACACTGGTAAAAGCTCAGGTTCAAGCCTACATAGCGGTGATAAGACTGGCACAGTGTAAATTCTTTTCTGTGCTTATTGTACCTGCAAATTCTCACCCAGAAGGACTATGGAGTTACGGAATCATTTTTGTAAGAGTGGAGTTGGAGGTGTTCGCTTAATGTAATAAGACCTGATAAACCATATGAGAAAATAAATGGAATGCTCGGGGAATGGTTCAGCATTGAGCACAGAATAAGGCAAGGATGTCAGACCTTTCCTTAGTTGTTTAACCTATTTATGGTAAAAATGTAACAAATGCTTATGTTGACATTGAGGTTTCTTGGCTGGAAACATAAATATGTATGTATTTTTGTAAGCTGATGATGCCATGTTGTTGGCTGGGAACACAAATAATTTGCAGTGAATGTTGGGTAGATTGTAAGATACAATGTGGAGCATGCAGGAATATGTAGAAAATTAACATATCAAAGACAAACATGTCTTTGCCATGTTTGACAGGGAAAATGGAGGGAATCATTGCAAACTGTAAATGGATGGTTAAAAAAACCTAGAGGAAATAGCTGAATTTGTGTAGCTTCATAAAATATTTACTAAAGATAGAAAAGAGAAAATTTTAAAATGAACTGATTGCTGGTAGAGAGTGGATGTCAAAAGAAATGAAATTCACCGTACAGGAGTGTGCTTATGCTCTCTTTATTGTTTAGGTAGCCAGTGTTTGGTATCTCAGAAGGAACATAAAAGTAAGTTATGATTGGGATACTTAAGTATGTATGGTAAAACAAGATGAGATAGGGCCAAGAATGAATGAGTACTGAATGAGTGTGGAAGGAACACCAAGTATGGTTGAGGTGGTTTGTTCATATAGAAAGAATGAATGAGGATCAAATCACAAATCGGTATGTGAAGAATGAATGAATGGGTTGAGAGGAAGGGAAAATAAAAAATGTACTTGAATGGATTTGAAGAGTTGCTCAATCAGAGATGGGTGACAATAAGAAATGGTAGCATTTGGATCAGTATATGTTGGAATGCTGAAAGCAAAGATAGTTTGCAAGAATAGAAAGATTCAGAGGTACAGTGAATAGTGTTATGTAAACTAATTTAGATACAATTCCTTTTCTGTCTCTTATCTCATGTCTGTAATTCCTTTTGCTTACTGTTCCTTTCTCCTTTTCTGCACATTGCATAATGTTTCATGGCGTGCTGTATGATGTGTATATACTGTTTTGGATTCCTGCTGGAAACCAGTAGTGAAAAATATTGAAATCTGATGAATGAATTTAGATCCTTAATCTTTGTTTCAGTTACAGAATGTATCCTTCCTTTGACTCAATTGCCTTCTTATTCATAAGTGGAAACTTTAGGATCCAAATGTCTTTCAGGCCTCTTTTCATTTCAGTCTTTTGATAGTACTTTTTCTGTCCTGAGAGGATCAGGCATACAAATATATTATGCTGGTAATATATTGGTATACTCGGTGCATAATATTTTTCTTCCATAGGTAAAATACAATCAGATACAGTTATGAGTGCTAAATAGTGATTACAAAATGTAATTGTTTCAGCATTTTCAGTCAACATTTGTCTTTTTTGATAATTTGAAGTTATTTTATCTAAATATGTGTTTCAATCATTTATTTCTTTTAGATTATTAATATAGCATTGGATAAGTGCATCACTGTGAATCAGTCTAGTCTTACCTTTGAAACATGTGATATTAATAATAAGGTAAGCCTGGAATTATTTTTCATTATTCTTAGAGGCTAAAATATAGATGCTTTAAAACCTCTTCAGAATATTGGATGTGATTTGATCCTATATACAGTACTGTGCAAAAGTTTTAGGCAGGTGTGAAAAAATGCTGTAAAGTAAGA